TCTGAAGCATTTTATGACTTGATATGTTTGTTGTATCGTTTTTGTTGTTTATGGTTTGTTGTTGATGAATGTTATTGTTAATGTTTGTTTAAAAGATGAGTTTACTATATATTATATGGTTTGAGTGTTTTTACAATCCCTTACCAAATATTTAACTTTCTAAACTGTATTAGAAAATTATGATATGATAGATAAATTTGTATTAAAAAATAAGTACACAATTAATTCTTGACAAGAATTCTTCACACTGTTAACTGCATGTTATTCGTTAATTGTTAGAACTTGGTTTAATGATCGTAGATCTTCAGTCACCCCTCTCTCCACCTCTAATTTTGTTTGCAAAGTAAATAATATTTTACAAAAATAATTAGAGGTGAAGACAAGGACGGTTGAAGAACTAGGATCATTAAACCAAATTCTTATATAACTTAATTTGTCATATTGTAATGTTCTAGTATATATTGGAATGTTATATGCTTAGTGAACATTGGTGAAATAAGCATTCCACATAATTTTTAATAAACCCATGTCTATATTCAATCACGATTGTTTAGAAAGACCGTGGTTAAATATGTTGCAATAAATAATATCAAAACGGTTGTTTAAAGTAACCGTTGTGGTAGGTAGCGCACTATATGATACAATCACGGTTGCATGATTGTGGTGGAAATCATCATACATACAATCACCCCTTACCTCACAATGGTTGGACCAACATGGTGGAATCCTATTTCCAACCGTTGTGATATGTATTTTCCGTAGTAGTGATAAGAGGAGGTTTCATAGATGGATCTTCAGTAACACCCTATTGTCTTATTCTGGAGATTTATCTTCGGTACCACCCAAACGAGTCGAAAAATTATCAAAGCAAAAGTGTGAAGTAATGATTACACAAGATTAAATTTGTTCAATAAAGAACAAAGTTAATACAACAAAGGAAATTTTCAAACATTACTAAAAATCAATTAGCATGCACAACCAATCGTACTCATGTTGACACATAAGCAAAAGTATGCAAAGAGTGCCTCAAATCATCTGATAAAATTGCAAGGCAACATGAATGTCAAGAATGCAAACTATTACATAATCGACAAATTGTGCATCAAAGATTCACATACATACTGCAATTGAAGGCTAAACAACTCAAGAAAAATCTACAAATATCAAATATGTTGAGCCTGGGAAGTTAAATGTGGAAAGAAATTCAAACAAGCATGAAAAAACACAAAAATATGCTTCTGCAACAATGTTAATTGATTAACCACTTTTTCCTGTAAACTGGTTAATCGATTAACATTATAAAAATAGCTCAAAATCCACATAGCAACAATGTTAATCGATTAACCACTTTTGCCTGTAAACTGGTTAATCTGTTAACACTGTAAAAAACAACAACATAAAAATCAAAGCATAGAATAAGATGAAAAATTCATGTTAATTCATATCAAATAAAAGCTAATAAAATTGATAATGCAAAACAAGAATTCAAACAACAAAACCTCAATTAAGATCTACATTGTGAAAACGCGAAAATGATCGAAAATAGCGAACTAAGCAAGAATCACCTACCTACAAGGCAGAGGCTTGCCTTAGTAATTGTTGTAAGAAAAATGTGATGCAAAGAAGAAAAGAAAACCATAGAATTCCAAGCTTTAGAGCAATTCGTAGAAAAATCGAAGAAAATGCGATAAATGCTCCAAATATGAATTTGCACCAAAACTCTTGAGATGGTTACTAGAATTGAAGTAGAACTTGCTGAAATTACATAAATCCAAGAATTATAGTGTAATAGAGGTTAAACTTAAGAGAAAAGCAATTTCAATGTGAAATTTGCTACTCTTCAATGGTGGAAAAGAGCTCTAGTGAGGTTTTGTGAAGAAGATGAAGATGAATGTGAGAGAGAATTACAGAAATTTCAGAGAAAAATGAGAGTGAAGAGTGATAATTGAGAGAATGATCAAGTGTGAAGAGTGAAAAATGATCAAGGTCCCTTGCAACAAAGTGAAGGTTTCTTTATATAGAGTGGAGGTTTGGAGTGAGATAGGTTTGAAACTTGGTTTGAAGCTTACTTTAGAGTTAGTTACATCTAACTCACTGAGTTGGAAGTTGACTCAGTTAGTTATTTGTTAACTCGGCGGGAGCATCCCAAATGCAAGTTCGAAATTTAATGGTTCACATGCTTGGAAATGAGGGTGCATGGTGAGCATGATTGAAAATGATGTATTATAGAAAATGCAAATGAATTCTTGAAGTGTCTATAATATTCCACATGATACTAGAACTAAATAGACCAAAAGAGTGAAGGAGAAGTTGTTGTAGCGCTGTGAAATACTGAAATTATGCAGAACTTGTAGGTGTTAATCGATTAATAGCCGTTCAACAGCTGAAAACAGTGTTGTAAAAGGGTGTTAATAGATTAACCACTTTTTCCTTCCTTTTGGTTAATCGATTAACACAGGCAGAATTTGCCCAATTTGGCTTGAAACATGGTGTTATGACCGTGGCTCTGAACTTTGACTCTTTGCTTTGATAAATAGGCATAGAAACCCTTGTGTTTTGCTTGTGTTGATGTCATGATAACTCTGTGAGGATGTGATTAACTGTGGCCTCAAAACTTTCTGAAATTCTGAATATTCCTGCAACAAAATCACAGAGAAAGAATGCTAATGCGTATGCTGGAAATTCGATTACACATGCTCGTGCAAAAAGGCAAAAGAGGAGGTCAAGTTTCGAGTTACAACAACAGAACAAGGATTTTTATGGCATGAAATAGGAACTTATAACATGAAACAAGAGAATAAATAGATTTCTAGTGAAATTGTGTTTCGCTAAATGCATGTCTGAGTATATTGCTTATGTGCATGAAACAATGTCAAGTATATTTATGATATTCTTGTATGTTGATGATTCACTTGTGATTGGAAGCAATAAATATCAAATCAAGAGGTTCAAAGAACTCATGATGTTAGAATTTGAGATGACTGATCTAGACATGCTATCCTATTTCCTTGGAATGGAAATTCTCAAGACCTCAATAGGGTTTAAGCTATACTAGAGAAGGTGTGTTGGTGAAATAATCAAAAAGTTTAAAATGGAAGAATGTATCCCTGCAACAACACCTATTGAAGAAAATATCAAGCTAGAGAAATGAGAAAAAGAAGAAAAGGTGGATTCCACATATTTCAAACAAATTTTTTTCTTCTCTTAGATATTTATGCAATAACATGCCAAACATTTGTTTTATTAATGGTTTGGTGAGAAAGTTTATGGATGATCCAAGGAGAAATCATATGTCTGCAACTAGAAGAGTGTTGAGGTATTTGATGGGCATATATAATTGTCTATGGAATTCTGTTTCAACATCAGTAAAGCACTCTGATGAAGAGATTAGTTGTTACTTTGATGCAGATTATGTGTTGATAAAGTGGATAGAAGAAGCACTACAAGATACTACTTAAAGTTCCTTAGTTCGCCAATTTCTTAGTGTTCAAGGAAGCAACCAGTTGTGGCTCTTTTATCACGTGAATCAAAGTAGATATATTCATCATATGGTGCATGTCAAGTTATGTGGATGGAGTCAATTTTAAAGGAATGGAAGATTGAAGTCAAGAGGGCAATCAAGTTGCAAGTTGATAACAAGCCAACTATCAATGTAACAAAGAACACAATTTTGCATGGTAGGACCAAACATATTGAGGTAAAATTCCATTTCTTGAGGGAGCAAGTCAATCAAGGGAAGCTAGAAGTTGCACATTACCTTACCTCATCAAAGGTTGTAGATGTGCTAACCAAACGATTGAAGACTGATAAATTTTGTATTCTAAGAAAACATTAGATGTATTTACTGTGAAATGATTGTTGAATGATTTAAGGGAGCATGTCGTTAGTTAATTATTCTTAAATTGATTAGAAGTTAGTTATATGGTGGTTAGGTAATTACGATTAACTTCAAACACATTTAGCACTAGTTTTGTATGTGGTAACTAAGAGCATCTTTAGTGGGAGTAAACTAAATTGATAAACTAAGATACTTTTTGTGGATCCAAAGTGATTTGTAGGATTTAAATAATTTATAGTTGATTTGAGTTGTTTTTACTTTAATGATGATTGCTTGTAAAAAACCAAAATTTAATCCCACGTTTTATATTTTAATATTATAAAATAATAAAATAATAATAATCAGAACCATTGAAATTTAATAGTGTGCGTTGGTTATATGGTTACCACTAGGTTTATATATGGTTACAATGTAGTTACTAGCAATAATTTAGTTACTTTTATATTTATATATATATATATATATATATATATATATATATATATATATATATATATATATATATATATATATATATATATATATATATATATATATATATATATATATATATATATATATATATATATATATATATATATATATATATATATATATATATATATATATATATATAATTCTTACTTTAATCTCTATCGATTTTCTCTATATTTTGATGAGCAAGAAAGCTCTTGCTTTAACAATGCTACATCCATTAATGATTAAAATAAATAAATGAGAAAATTTTATTAAGGATAAATATAAAAAAGTATGTGATAAATTTTCTCTTTGATATAAATATAAAAATATGCATAAGAAATGTTTAATATGTAAAACATGAGTCAAACATTTAAAAAAACAAAATTAGTTTAAAACGAATTCGTATAAAAAATACCATGATATATTCAATTGTTAGATATACACACAAACTTCTAAGCACTGTAGTGTTAAAAAAAGAAAACAAGCTCTTATAGAAAATGAATGAAAATTTTAGGTATACGGAGGATAATGATGGATAACCGTTAAGATTAAAATTAAATGTTAAATCTGGTTCGCGACGATTGATCCTAACTGGTATTTATATCAACGTTTCAAAAAGCAAAACTCAAACCAATTCGCATCTTCGCGCTCTCTTTTCAATATCATATTTTCTCTCTTCTCTTCCTCTAGATATCATTCCGCCATGTCTCAACACCACCGCGTAGATCCAAAAATCTGGCAGGCATGCGTCGGAGATTCGTTCACCGTTCCGAAACTTCATTCAAAAGTATACTATTTCCCTCAAGGTCATTTACAACATGTCTGCCCTAACACTCCTAACACTCAAAAAAACCATGGTTTCCGTCCGATGAGCCTCTGCACAGTCTCCGCCGTCGATCTATTTGCAGATTCTGAAACTCATGAAGTTTTTGCAAAATTACTCCTGACTCCCGTAATTGACGGAAGTGTTGTTCCTCTTGAGACTAGAAACGAAGAGGATGGTGATCAGATTGTATCCTTCGCTAAGACTCTAACCAACGCTGATGTTGAAAGCAGAGATAAACTCTACGTGCCTACGGCCTGCGCCAACTTGATCCTCCCAGCGCTCCCACGGCTTGAATCTAGAAAGCAATCTTTGTTTCTAGATCTCTTCCTTACGGACGTTTGCGGTGTAGTCTGGAAATTTCGCCACGTCCACTGTAAATGTCACCAACACCTGTTCACCACAGGTTGGAGTCGATTTGTTGATAAGATGAAATTGGTCGGCGGCGATACTATTGTGTTTATTAAAAACTCGTCTGGAAGTATATCCCTTGGAATTCGCAGGAAAACAAGGTTTGCTGCTGCTGCTGCCAAAATAACTGAAAAGGAAGTTAATATAGCAATAGAATTGGCAGAGAAGAACGCAGCGTTTGAGGCTGTGTACTATCCGACAGTTGGTGGTTGTGATTTTGTTGTTGGAACTAAGACTGTGGAGGATGCAATGAAAGTTAATTGGATTTGTGGGATGAGAGTTACACACACGGCGAAGAATGACGATACTTCCAAGGGATGCTTCATTTTTAATGGTATAATATCTGCAATCTCCCATCCTTCAACTCGTCCATGGCGCATGCTTCAGGTATTTCGAATACAATTGAAGTCTTTTGATTGTGATTCTTACACTCTTAATTGATATATCAAATGATTGTGATTCTTACATTTTTCTTCTCAATATTGTAGGTTGAATGGGATGAACCTTATGTCCCTGAGAATCTAAAGCATTTAAGTCCTTGGCAGGTTGAAATTATTGATTGTAACACAGCTATACCAGATATACAATTCCCTCCAACAAAAAAGTTGAGAGGTGCTCAACGTTCAATTATGTTATTTGGTCAGAGGATACAACCTATTGAAAGTGATTTGAATGATTCTGATATCAATGGAGACGATGGTTGAAAGAGGAACAATGAAGTTGAAGACATTGATAAAACTTAAGCCGTTACAAAATAGTTATGCAAATAATAAAACATACATGTACGTTCATTCAGATTAATTGAAATTTAACTATAAAAATTATGGAATCATTTAATTTTGTTTTATTGATGAATTTATAGTTTGTAAGATGAATTGTGTTATCTTTGATTATCAAATGCAATGCAAATATTATTGATAACATAAATCTATTTTACTAAATAATCGTGTGATAAAAATTAAACCGCATTTTAAAAAAATATGATAAGGATTTCATCTTTGTTTAGATCATGATCTTCAATGCTTCGTATTCAATCGAAACTCCTGCATTGCTTAATGATAGATTGTCTCTATTAACTAACACATCAGAAAACATTTTGCTATTGTTTTGAACTTTGAAGGCTCTGAGTTGCAATTTCATTGTGTTTACTTTCACCTGAAATTTTTTCTACCTTTCCAGTAATTGCAGCAATTACACAATCTTGTGTCGTTTGCTAAATCATATTAAAGTATAGCTTTTATTGTTTATTTTAGTTTTTTTTATAGCAGTACTGCCTTGCCTATTTTATAGATAGTTGAATTTATCACTACTGTTGGAATTTTTTATCTACATAATTCACTTTTTTTTTTTTAATAATTTCCAAAATACTCTATATTTCAAAATATTTTCTAAATTACCCTAGTTAAAATTTCTGATTTGCATGTAGACACCATACTAATTGGCTGCATGTAGGCACCATACTAATTGACGATTCTTTGTTAGGACATGGGTGGAGTCGCCAATTGGATTGGAGACATCTCATGAAGTCTCCAATTCAATTGGCGACTGAGTATTATACACATAGGGGAGTTGTCAATTCATCTGGAGACTACTTAGAAACTAAATTTTTTTTCTTCTATAAATAGAGGTGTTCTGACCATTTAGTTCCACAACTCATCTCATATCTTTGTTCATTTAGTTACACAACTTATCTCATATCTTTGTTCCACTGATAACATGTATCGTCGCCGGTGGAAAAAAAATCGTCTATTCGAGAGAGAAGCCTCTTATGAGCATGTTATTTTGGAACATACAAAGTTTCAATCAACTTAAGAGAGACCTGAATTGGTGGTTAGAAGGAGACATTGGTTGGTGAAGGGAAAAAAATTCGAAGTATCGACATACTTGATCGGCTGCGTGGATGGGTTCGTGTTAAGACTGACAAGGATGCAAGGAAGTCATGTTTGGACCAAATGAAATTAGTTTGATTGTTGTAATCAGTTAGGAATGTTTTATGTTTCTTTTCCGTTAGTTGTTTTATGTGTGGTATGTGTTGTGTACTGTTAGTTCGCAGTATGTGTTGTTTGTTATTAACATTGTTGTAACAAAGACTCATTAATATATGAAAATATTAGGTTACAACAACTGAAATGATAACCTAAATCATGATGTAGATGTTGCTCTGACATTGAGACAATTTTTTCGGTTGTGTCCGGGCTGACGACATATACTGCATAATCTTATTATTTTATCAGTTGTATCCATTTCAGTTATTATACGCTTGCTGTTTGGGCGTCCCTTTTTCTTTCTTCACATCCCATCGTTGTGTCAAACTATGTCACCTTGGTTAATTTTTAATGTCTCTGTTAATTTTTTTTTAATTGAAAATTATGTAGGAAGTCTCTAAGTTTCGTCCTGTGCCCATGAATACGTTGCACCCGGCGAATTAATTCAACCATATATTGAGCTCGTCGGTTTCGGACATGTAAGCAAAATCATGTCTTACTCGGTTGATGCAAAGTTTATACTAGCTTTGCAAGAGAGATGGCGCCTAGAGACACACACCTTCTTTTTTCCAACTGTTGAATGTACCGTGATCTTAGAGGATGTGTACATGTTACTCAGTTTGCGTATTAATGGTAAGGCGGTCAATGAACCAACCAACCTTCATGGTTCAATTTGTGAGGAACTTTTGAGTGCCGACTTGCTATATGAGAACTCAAGAGACCAAGGTATCTTACTTTCGCGCCTCAAAATATGGTACACCAGTTTTATATTAGATCAAGATTCTACAGAAGAAATGAAAATAATAAAAACCAGGTGTTATCTTATGCTTTTAATTGGTTTATTTTTACTTCCCGAAGGCACTGATTCTTCTACGTACGTTATGTATTTACCGTTATTGAGAAACCTAGATAAAACAAGGGAGTATAGTTGGGGTTCCACTTGTCTGTCTTATTTGTACAACTCTTTGTGGAAGTGCGCAAAAAAAAAATACATCTACTTTTTCTGGATGCGCCGTTTTGCTCCAAGCATTGGATTAGTCTAGATTGCCATCCCTAGTGTCCGTCAACCACAACAACTTTTCTTTCCCGTATGCACAAAAGTAAGTTACTAACTTAATCTTAGTTTATTTCACCTTACTAATTATTGTGTCTAACTAATTGAATTTGAACTTTTTGTGGTTTAGATGGTCGGCTAAGAGTATGACTTACAATAGATGCCGTAGACATTGTATCATTCGTTATCGCAATCTGTTGGATCACCCAACACCTGAAGATGTAAGGCCTCTAAACAAATCAATTTATTTTTTATATCAACAATTTTATGATCTAATATTTTTCTCTTTCTCAGTTCATTTGGCGTCCATAATCTAAATATGAAACACCTACATGAAGTCAGAGAGGAAGATGCTGCCGTTTGGACTGCTTGCGTGCCGGTCATCAGATTCACCATTGTGGAGATGCACAACAGTTACCATGTCAAACTACAATTTGAAATGCATCAAAACATCCTAGATCCCCCTGTTGACCTCAGTAAATGGCATCTTAAAAGAGTTAATAATCAGTGGGACTTTCACGACTGGAAGGATTTTGCAAAATTTGAGTGTCGTAAATGGAGGAACCGCAACTCCCATGTCTTACGTGACCCGGTGATGGCAACCCCTTCTATACCAACTAATAATTATATGGCTTGGTATAGATCATTTGCAAATGGATTTTTCTCCGAAGAGAGGTATCTATACGACCCACGATAAACCACCTACACCCAAGAATCTTCAGCGTCTAACCCACCAGGAAGGCCATGTTACTCACACCCCTATCCAACAAAATTACCAACCCACTAACCATCCAAACATGAAAAACACCCAACCACAATGCCAAGAGCATCCTCTATACCATATTCAACACACTGACTACTATCAAGAAACTCAATATGGTTATGGCCCCAACACAACATCAAGATATAGCCAAAATGAGGGTACATCATACCATAGCCATAGCGCCCAAACATCTTTCCATAGCCAAATCGCTCAGACATCATACCCTAGCCTACACACTCAAACATTCTAACAACCTTATGTCTTTCAATGTCCCCCTTCAATCGTCCAGGCCGCACACTAATGACCCCTTCATCACATCCGAACTACTCTGACATGGGTCGCATGCTCAGTTTCAACACACAAGACCTCATGAAAATGCAAGAAATTCTTAGGAAACCATATGAGAGTGGTCCTGAGACTTCAACTCCTCAAACACATGTCATGAATCAACAACGAGGGGAACGAGTGAGGGTGCCTAGGGAATGTGGAACCGGTGGCCGGTATGACTAACCCGGTCGACAACATTAATTTATGTAATAGTATTTTTAATTAATGATAATGTTATTTATTTTTGGTAAATTTTTTTACATAATGCACCCTGTCTGCAAATGAATTGGTGACTCCCCTTTAAGTATAACACCAAGGCGTCAATTAGATTGGAGACTGCATGAGGTGTCTCCAATCCAACTGGCGACTCCACTCATGCCTTAACAAAGAGTCGCCAATTGGTATGACACCTACATCCAATCAGAAACCCTAACTGGGGTAATTTGAGAATTATTTTGAAATGTGGGATATTTTGGGAATTTTTTTGAAACAGTGGGTTATTTAGGTAAAAAATTCCAACTCTTGTAAATGTGGAAAATTCAGATTCTAATAATGAATATTGAATATTGTGTCTATTTTTCCAAATGTTGATATGGTATAACATTAAGATTACTCTGATATATTTTTTCTTGTTCATCTCGTTTTCTTTTTCCATCTCTTCCACAATTTTTTTGTCAGTTTATCACAAGTGGCTATCTTGTGTTTTCTTTCAAGATTTCTCCACTATTTTTTGTTACACGTGTTGATTTTTCACGTACCCCTTTTTAGATTACATATCAGAATCCTGATCTCACCTAAAACTTTTTCTCTTTTTCATTTTCTTTTTCTCTCTATCACGTTCCTAAAATTTTCCCATAAATCCTTCCCTTTCTTCTTCCCTTCATCCTATGAATTTTGTTGTTGTTGTTGTTGTTGTTGTTGTTGTTATTGTTGTTGTTGTTGTTTGTTTTTCCCGATTCACACACTTTACCATTCATGACCATTCTTGGTTTTGTTTCGCCCATTCTCATTTTCCATCAATTTCTTCACAAACCTAAGAACCCTAATTTTTTCGTCTTCTTCGTGTTTCCCCTTTCATGGAGAACTCCAACACGGAGAAACCTCCTTCTCCCACATCGAAAACACTTATCCACTTAAAAACAACTCTGATAACAATATTTGTTCATATCAAACATATATGCTTGATATTTTCTATATGCACTCTAGTGACAACCTAGGAATTGCCTTTGTCACACCTTCTTTAAACAACAAAAACTTTCATTCTTGGACTCGTTCAGTAAAATTGGCCATTCGCTCCAAGAACAAATTAGGGTTTTTAGACCGAATCCTAATTCGCCCTAACTCTGATCAAACCATTTAAGACTAGGATCGCTGTAATATCATGGTGATGGCATGGCTTACCAACTCAATCGAACCAGAGATTGTTGAAAGTGTGTTGTGGATGGAGGTCGTGCATGAGATCTGGCAAGATCTACATGATCGATATTATTAAGGTGATATCTTTAGGATTTCTGACATTCAAGAAGAAAGTTTTAGCATTAAACAAGGTGATTTGACTATTATTCAATACACCAC